CACGTCTGCGTCAGATGGACCGTGTATAATATCGCGAACGACGTTATACATCGTACACGTACACATATCATCTAAATATAGGAACGACGACTTGTGTGTCAAATAAATAATGCATAGTGTTCATTATATTAAATACGCACACGTCGACGCCTACACTCACACGCACACACACGAACACACACACACACACACACACACACACACACCGAGCATGCGAAAAGTGAAGATAAAATAAAATCATTATAAGCACACACAAACGCACACACATTTAGCTATAGCGGATAAGCGGATCCCGTGTGAGTGTACACCGTACACATTAGTATGCTCGTGGGAATGTAAGTGTGTTTGTGTTTTTTTTTTTTTGCGTCGTTCCGGTGCCGCGAAGGAATCGAAACGCTCGCGACTACGACGACAACGAATTGACTTTTAAAACGTTTTCGCGCGAGTTACATATTATTATTATTATTATTTTTCTCGTTTTGTGTACAGAGTGGTTTGCCAAGCATTCTCACCCCACTATTTTACGTTAGTAATGCATGCGTTCAAATTCTGATTTTTGGAACTTTGAAGCCAGTGGTTCCTAAACTTTTTTTAGTTCGCGCCACCCTAAAAATTAAAAAAATAAATTGTGCCTCCCATAAATAAATAACCATTACGGAAATCCCCGAATCAAGTAGGTATATTATTGTATAACGTGACTTAAAGTAATACTGACGTAGTGAAATATTTTTTTAGAATAGTTAAACTTCGGTTAAGACGTTTCGACAAAATTATTGTTGATTAAAAAATATCAATATTTACCACGCGGCTTGCGCCTCTCGAGGGAAGCGCTCTTCACAGTCTGGGAACCGCTGTTTTACATTTTATTTTTCTACATATTATAATACTATACTACAATAGGTACCGTATGTATTATCAACTAGTCAGGATTTGTTATGCTATTTAATAAGGAGTGTCCTGTAGCGATACAAACTATTGTTTTTCAAATGAGAATGACTTATTGTTACTGCAAAATTATTTAGTGGTTAGATGTTTGATGGATCTAAATTTAAATTCAAACTACATAGTAGTTCCCGAGTTATTAAACATAATGTACTGTGGACAATTGTTCATCAGTTCATGATAGTGGGTTTGAATAGTGTTTTGGGGACTTAAATGATATAAGAGGTAGGTATACTAGATATATTAACATTTTAATAACTAAAAAAAAAAAAAATATTTACTCGCAAAAAAGGAAGGTTCTTATTGGAAATATGAAGTTTATGTCGTCACCGTACACTCCTGACGATATGGTAAAATCTAATTATTTAAAAACATAGCTGTTACAAAACGTATACATGAAAATTCCAAAAACTGAGCATTTCAATAAATGTATTATCAAAATAAATAAAGAGGGGGATGGTTATGCAATATACATGGTGGATCACCCTGTGAATACAGAGTGTTTAATGCCACTATATTTTCTTATTTAATTTTTTGTCAACTGTCGTTATCGTTCCGTAGATGTTGCACATCTGTCATTGTCATCTATTTATTTATAATATAGTCTATAGATAAAGTACTCTTTGAAAGTCGACTATCCGTTGAAGAGCATTCAAATGGCATGTCATTTTATATGAGTTTAGGTTTGATGAGGCGTATATGCCTGGAGGATTTGACGATTTGAACGAACAATTGTCGAAACCTCCGCTCGAGTTATGATGTTTTTTGATCGAAAATAAAAATCATCGTGACTAAGTAATAATGTATAATATAAACATATATTTATATACATCATTACTAGGGCAGAGTATAAAGTACATGCCATAGCCCTAAAAAATCACAAAATATGTATTCACTTGTTCTCTTAAACGCTATAAAATAGGCAACTAAACCTTTTTATGTATACTTAGTACTTACCATTCTAATCTACCAACAATGGTAGAAATTCGTCTATGTATGGAATTATAGCTTATATATTTCATATTTATTTATTTTCATGTTCAACTTTTGATGTATTTAATGTATGTTTAAATAATTTAATAAAATAGAATGTAAGAAATAGCCTATAACTTATCAATAGATGTTTTTTACTTCTTTATATTGTGATTAGTTTAATGAACTTAGTTATAATGTTTTTCTATAAATGTGAAATTTAAAAATTTAAAACCTATTTAATAAGTGTATATTAACTACAAAGAATTTAATTTATAAAATTGTACGCTACCGATCATCTTATATTTAATTTTTTTATTGGGAATTTTCACCCGTCCAAATAAAAAAAAAACTTGATATTCATTCAAAACTATGCAACGTAAAATCACACACTTGGCATTGTTGTAACTTGTAACACGAAACACATATTTTGTTTGTAGCTGGATTTTTTTACGATTAGGCATAACAAACATACAAACGCCAGAATAGTCCTCTGCCTCAATCATTACATATGCAAAACGATTTCATATAAATGTTTCGCGGAAACCTTCTGACGATTCGGTTTTGTACGCGCACGCATACTTCTCAAAGTCGGGTGAAATGTATACGAGAGGACGAAAAAATATTAATAGGTTTTTTCCAATATCTAGGCGATAACGAATCCCATACACGAGTACACGACTCAGCACGTGTGTGTGTGTGTGTGTGAGTTTAGGAGAAAGATAATGAAAGATACAAAGAGAGAGAGAGTGAGTGAGAGAGTAAGAGATCGGTCGACAGTTTCGTATATATTATTATTATAATATACTGGAGCTGAAGCCGAATCTTTTGGATGCGGAAAATAATAATAATATTTATAATCGGTCCGTTGATATGTTTATAATATATTAATCGACGGCCACCCGCTCGTAATTTCGTGCTAAAGAGTTAATCGTTCGCACGGATTTTTAAAATAAGTTTACCGTTCGCAGGCTACGACTATCGGCAGTATAATAATAATATTATAGCGTAATACGAAGTGTACATATTATACTAGTTAATAGTATATAGTGGTGTGCGCATGTATACCGCACGGTATAATATTATATAGGTAGGTATTATAGTAGGTAGGTAGTTCCGCAGGAAATACAAGTCGGCGGAAATTAATTTATATTTCGGTTTCGAAACCAGTTACCAGTTTTTAATTACCAAGCCGTTCTATTCGCACACGTACCTGTCGCTTATTGTCCCGAACAGTTCTCATGTTCTCAGTTTCATTTTTTTCAATATTCTATTTTATATTTCCATTGAACTATATAAGTGTGTTAGTGAGCGTTCTTACTACCGTAATGTATTAATGGAAAATGTTTAGGAATCGTTTATTGTTTATAATAAGTGTTTAAGTATGGGATGATCCATTTAACGCCTATAAGCCAATCAATATTTTAGAAAATACTACGTTTTAAAAAATATTTCTTGGAAATAATTTTAAGACGTTACAAAACAATATATTATTGGAAAAATTTATGTTTTTACAACTGTTTAATCTTTTTAATGATTACATTATAAATTTCATATTCCGGAGTAGGATAATATTCTGAACATTTTAATCTATAAAAATCCAATTTTGGTCAAATAATTTATTATATTTATAACTATTTAAACTTTAAAGGGTTAATGCATCAAATGAGAGGACTGGACCAATATTTTGTAAGATACCTTTGTAAAACTCCACGTCGCTCATCTAAACTTTATACTCATTAACTAGGTACTTATCCAAAAGTTTATTTCATCAGATCAAAGAACTACAAAAAATATTCTACTTTCGAATAGGTGTGAAATGAAAAATGTATGTTACCATTAGGAAAGTAAGACACTTGAAAAACGGTAACATTTTCTTTCAAAAATGTTAACGACCTGAGATTATTTTCGAAAACGTTCAGAGTTGTTTTAAACAATGAGTATCTTACATTAAATGGATCACCCGGTATAGTGTTGTGTTATAATAATAATATCATAATGGACGTCCACTTATGACATTTTCAACGAAAGCGCGTTGTAGAATTTTTTTAAACGCCTTCCCTGCCACAATAACTATACCGATGGCTATTTACGACGACCGGTCAATGGTTGCGTTAACCGACGAATTTAAGTTATACGCTTACCCGTTTTTACGATATGTAGCTACTTCTAATATTAAAATACACACAATCTACCAAAATGTTGTGCTCTTGGGAGTTGCGTGTACAATGTATTGTTTGTTATGGTATGAGAAATGTATATGCAAAGTAGCCTATAATAATCTCAAAATTAACATTTCTAGTGCATAACGTCACTTAATATGTAGTTTATAAATATGCATTATCATGATAGTGTTATGCACAAACCTATAAATATTTTTTCAGATATTTCGATGCGCACGCGACGCAGTTATAAGACGTGCATTTTTTTTCGAACTGCGATTTTGAAACTTTGTGAACTCGGTATAACCTGTAAGGAAAATATGGCGTAATATATATACATGTAAAAGATACCCATACAAATAATTATTAGACGTATGATCGAAGTAAAACTAATTTGCCGGTTTCAAATTCAGACACTTATACAAAGTTAACGTGCAACTTTATCAATTGGTTCGTTTTTGCAAATGTTCGAACATAAGCTTAGGTACGATGAGTAGCAACATCGATCGAGTTGAGAAACTCGCTGTTCAAAAGTTATAGGTAACAAAGTGGTTTTGAATTTTTTTAAACTTTGTGGAAAGGCCACAAATATATTTTTTTTTAATTTAAAACGATCTATATATTATAAAATATTATAGCAACAACATCGACGATTATTGTACCTGTATAATATGATATCGTAAATCAAACAACCTGTTATACATGTGAGGAATAAAGTACTCGGTTTAATCAAAAATCAAACACTCAAAATATCATTCACGGCTTTTGACTTTTAAGAAGTTGTAGATATACTTATACGCGTCTTCTTATGTATTATATCATTATTCATTATTATAGAGACCTGTATATTTTTTACCTTGCCCCTATACACATAACTACTATTTATGAGGTATATTTTTACTAATTCAAATTGTTTCTGTTTAGCATTCCGGATGGCGAAAGTTGAGAAACATTGTTCAATGGACGCCGTTCTTTCAGACCTACAAGAAACAGAGGTATCCGTGGGTACAGCTAGCCGGACACCAAGGTACGTTCATTGAGTAAAACCGTATTATATTTTAAACCAGTCATAATAATAATTATAAGGTTAACTTTGCTGACGAGCTGCATATGAGTACTAATATTATGGTTAATTTCTCTCAAAGACAAAAATGCGCACTCGGTACTTCAGTATATCGACAAGTATCAAATGAATATCGAACTTTCAATAATCTGCATAATATTAGATATACTGATGAAATATACAGACGCGTATAGTCATAGGCACATAGTAGCCTTTGACTGGAGATTCGGACTTTATTAGATACGCAAAGACGTAACTTGCTATTATAGTATTATATATGTATCAAATTCTTCTTGTTGAAGATTGTTGTTTGATTTGACCTGCGCCAATATCAACAACACGATTAACACTTTTACACTTTGCTTTCAACTTTTTACTAGCGACATTTTACAAAAAAGTTTACAACACATAAATATTTAATTGTTAACGACCGATTTCAGTCTATTTGAAAAATCAAAACGATTTGGTTTTTAAATCTTTGTTGAATAAACGCTTTCTGCATGGTTGGCATCGTTCTATACGCAGTAGGTACATAATATAACGATATTATTATTTACTTTCTCGAATGGACTTAGCGCAACAGACTGAGTAACAATAATAACCACGTACATACATACATACATATTATAATGTATATAATATATGAATGTATCTATACAAGTAAGACTGTATGATCGAATAATTATGCGTATAAATTCCCTAAAGTAACACGATCGTTGATAATCATTTAAAAGCCACACACGATCCAACTCAGACACACATAAAATATATATATAGTATATAATATGTACGCACGATCGTGTAATAGAAATATGGGGCTATCGATAGTCTGCGAAATCGTTGAATTGATCGTTCAAATCGGCCGTCGTATATTATGATATTAGAAATATAAATATAGCCTTCATTCCTCTGTACGACGACACGTTGTAGTGTTTTATTCGAAAATGACATCATAATCGTTTTTTGTATAAATCAACTGCGTGTATTATTATTCTTTAATAATTATTAATTTAGCTGGTACCGGTTAGCACACCCTATTTATCCTTTAACAATTTTATTCTAATTCTAATTTTTGAAATTTGTAACCTGTACTAAAAAACAATATTATTTAAATATTAGGATTTTCTTATTGTTAAACGAGTAACTATACAAATTACAAACAGTTTTTTCAAATGATCACAACCTTTTTTTACTGGAAAGTATAAAATTTTAAATGTTATGTAAATTATTATTTTGAACATTTCGACGAATCTATAAATTAATTGAGAGTCATGACTTCATGAGTGTAATTTCCGAGTTAATACGTTTTGTGTAATAAGGAATTTAAGGTTATGGGTAGTACTTAAAAAAGGTTTCACAAAATATTAAAATATATGATAATTATAATATGTAGTATTATTTTAGTCTAGTACTTTCTACTCTCAAACAAATTTTACAATCATAAATTTTATCAGATTAATTACTATATTTTTTAAAATCATCATAATATAGACCCTATATCTTTAAATCCTACATTTGTCGACGTATATTAAACTGCCTCCCAATTTCCTCCCCTACCATTGATCTTTAAAAAATAAATGCTAATAGCATGCGTTATACGGCCCTCATTTTAGAGTTATCTAAAAAGTATTAAGAGATTGACAATGCCCCCCCCCTCCAAGTGAAAAAAATATATTTCCTATGTGTATGTCTATTGTCATAAGGACTGCCTATTTCTTAGAAACTAAGGAAATATAGTTAGTTCCAATTTCAATTATTGTACATCAAAATATCAAAAATAATTCATCTATACAATTTACAGTAAAAGACAGCAGTTCTTTTAGTTTATTCCGTAAACGGTGTAAAGAGCCAAAGTATTTAAAAAATACTTATTATGGTGTTTAAGTATCGGTATGTACTTGGCTAAATACTTAAATAGCTATGAAAAATCAGAATTTGAATAAATTCATTATTTAAGGATAACACGGGAGTGAACATGCTTGATGATTCATTTTGTATAATATAATATGCTCATTTACGCACAAGGTTTTTTTATTTACGCATTCGAACAGTCTACGTATATACCTGTTCATTTTCATAACACGCGTTAAAACGATAATAGTGACATTATTAAAGTCATTACTTTAATACTAAATATGCGTATTTATCGAACAAAATGAATTAAATTACCGACGACACTTAAAAAACAAAAATAGGTAATTGTCTACTGGAAAACTGTCTTAAAATATTATTTAATGGAATCGATTAGAAAAATTAATAGTAACAATATTTCAAAATACAGTCAACCACGATATCGGTATTACCTGTACTAAATTATTAAAACAAAACTTGGAATATTGAGTTGTTTTTTTTTTAATAACTCACTCATTGTATATATGGGTACGGTATTAGTTACGGTTAGTGTGTAAAACAAATTCTTTGTCCGCTACTTTAAAACATTCATGAAAATTATTATGATTAGTTAGTTTTTTAATTAACAGTTTTAACTGTTAGAGATATGTTTTCAAGATAAACGACTATATGGTTTGGTTTTTTTTCATCGATATTTTTTGGCGTAAGAGTGTATACTAACTTTTAATTAATAATACTAATAAGTAATAATATAACGCTACTTTAATGTCCAGTCGTTATTATTATGCACCGGACAGCGTGTTAAAAATGTTAAAATCTCTTAAACATCGGTTTTATTTGATTTCCGATAGAAATCTATAGCGGTAAGGTGGTGTATTTTGCATAATATAGGTACATGCTAATAAAAACATTATATCTTCGCGGGATCATAATAATTATTCGTAATGATCATAATATTATTTATTAGTAATTATTATTCAATTCGCACGTAATACTACCATCGTTTTATCGTTGTAAATATGAATATTGATATCTTGTGCGTTTAACCTCCTAAAAATAACCCGCAACAATTAAAAAAATAACAATAAATCAAGGCCGTGAGTTAAATTCGTCGAGTGTTTTGTAACACACGAAAAGCGCCTGCTTACGATATATACATATACTGTTACGTGCGTACGTACCAACACGTCAAGACGTATTTTGAACAAATATTGATAAAAAAAATCGACAACGTTAATTATGTAATTATATTATGCGCGGCGCATTATATGATATAATAATAATATTATTTTTACGCGACGTGTTATATTTTTTGCGCGTCAAAAATAATAATTATTTTATGTGACTTGTTCTAAACTGCGTTTGGTGTGATGAACGACACGACTCATTTTTTGATATGAGTATAATATTGTAGACTGTGTTTGAGCTTTATATAATACATCATAAGTAATAATATTGTGTAATTGTGTACCTATAATCAATAACCGAAATAAAATTATTTTCTCTGTAGTATTATATTATTTTCTAAAAACCAAATCACTAATTTATAAAACTTAAGTCGGTATGGACTTCTGGACCCAAGGCGAAAAAATCTAACACACAATTCTTCACTATTTATCTACAACTTAACTCAGCATAATGATTTTATGCGAAAACTACACACTTTAATGAGTGCTTTCTCAACCCATCCCAATCTCTTCATAATAATAATTGTGTCATAAAATCATTCGTATTCAGTAACGCGCACTTAAGACTACGATGTCTTACCCTCATACACTAAAATTTAATGACTTTGATTTTAAATTAAATTTGGCGAGCTCTGTTAACTTACAGGTTAAAATATACGATGGAAGACGTTTACCGTTATACGTTCGAACCTTTTAGACCTTATTATGACCATAATGGTATTAATACCTCGGCGCTCTAAAGTTCTAAGACCCCATGACCATAATAATAATATTATACCCCATCGATGTAAAGTCGTAGGTAGAACTAAGTCAAACAGTTGTGAGGAAATTTAACACAATTATTAATGATCGTAAACACTTTTATTACATTAAAACAAACATATAATATTCCACTATGTATGGTCCGCTGACTGCCGTAGTTTTCCTCTCCACGCCAACGATCACCAAACACTGACACTACTGTTAAACTCAATACGTGGCAACAGCAGAACTCTCCCAGCACGCACAACGTCGTTAATTAACAAAATATTAAGTTGCTTCAGTAGGTACAATTTGCTTCTCAAACACTACCTATATCATATAGTGACTATTACGTGCTAAGTCATATATTAACATAATATTGTGTCCCTATACATATTATTATATAGTATATTATAATGTTAATGGCCTAGAGTAAACGACAATTTATTTATTGTAAATGTTCATTGTCACGCACAATGATCGTGCAAGGCGTGCCTCGTCTTACCCTGCAATGTCTTTTTTTTGAGGAGCAAAGTATTTTTATCTTTTTTATGTAGGTATTCCAAAAGATTGTGGATTAACGTAAGTACATAAGATGCAGTGGCATCGTAGAGAGAGGATCAAGATTTCAAACACCTTTTCTTGGTCTTTTTTTTACATATTTTTATTATTTCACATTAAAAAATATGAAATAATTTGTTATGATCTCGATGAAACGTATATACGAGGTATCTAATGAATTATTCAAATTTTTTATACNGTTAAACTTTAAAAGTTTACTGTGCAAATGTTTACATATTTTTGGAATTTTTTCTACAAATGCATATTTTTAAGATTTATTGATTTTTATTGCATATTTTAAAATAATTTTTGATTATTTACTCTTAAAGTCTTAAATCAATATAATATTAGTAAATTTATTTTATCTACATGATTTTGTTAGCAATAATACCGATAAGGCGATAATCAATAGCGTTACGGGGAACCCATTTTATTTTTAGCTCTGAGGACAATATTATTTTTATTTAATCCGTCTTTTATAGTATTATTATTTATTTTATTTGCCAGTACATAGTGATCGACGGACTACGATCGTTATCGTGTGCACGTATCGTCAATCGTTGTCGTGTTTGTATTTGTATTTGTATTCGTTATTTTTTGTATTTATTAGAGCTCGTATTTGTA